GTTTTTTATAAACTTCACAATTGGGCAAGTAACAATTTTGAAACATATTTAAAAATGATTTAGCATTGGAGAGGTACGTGTTACTAGGAACTTTTGATTTCAAGTTTCCGAAAATTCCGTTGGAAATGTGGCTAAAGTCAACAGAACTCTTAATTTTTTGCAATATTTCATAGCTCACCTTAGTATAGTAACCCTCAAAAATTAAGAATACCTAAAATCCATTTGTACAAAATGTTATTTACCATTCGGAAGAATGATTGGACAGACGAACACATGGACGTTCGGACATGGCTAAATTGACATAGAAAAGTATGATGGTTAGGGATATATACATATATGCTTTGTAGGGTCTAAAATGTTCATTTCGTGGAGTTGCAAACGGTTAACAAACCTAATATAAGTATCCGGAAAGTTATATATGGTGCTAAATTTGGCAACAATGTTGTTGTTATTGGATGGACCCACATAAGCCGTAGAATTGTTTGTAGAAATTCGCAAGACAAAAAAACACATTTTACCATGAAAAAACTTAGGATTCGTTCAATTCGAAATTCGGCGTCTAAACAAAACATAGCAATTAAATTAAAAAACATTAAATTTGGCAAGAAATGAATTTTCAAAACTCTACTATGAGGTCAAGAAAACCGTAAAAATAATATATTTTCGACCGCTTTCAAAAAGTCTTGGAAAAAGGGTACGAAAATAAACAATATGAAACGTCTGCGCAGTCGTCTGCAAAACCAACACTCAACACTAACGGGATTTTTTTATATACCACCATTCTATGTAGGATATATTAACTTTGTCATCTCGTTTGTAACTCCTAGGATTACTAGTGATAAACCCTATCGGTGAATAATGTTGCTGAAATCATCAAAATATCGAATATCGGGAGCTATCGTTATGTGGGGGCTTTACGAAGACGTGGACCTGCATACAAAAATGTGTGTCATAGGCTTTAGTACCCATAACGAACTTCAAATACGAAGTTTGAAATAATTCCGGTAAATAATGTTGCTGAAATCATGAAAATACTGAATATCGGGAGGTACCGTTATATGGGGCTATACGAAAACGTGGACCGACATGGCCCATTTACGAACTTAGCCTGCCTATTGGTAAACTATGCATGTATGCAAAATTTTAGCCTTCTATCTCAATTCGTTCGAAAGATTACAACAGACAGACGGACATAGCTGGATCGTCTTAGAATTTAACGCTGATCCAGAATATATACTTTGTAGGGTTTATTATAAATATTTCGAGGAGTTACAAACGGAATAACAAAGTTAATATACCAGAAATAGAATGATTTAGGGTATAATAATAGTTTGTAACTTCATGTGTTTGTAACTTCATTACACCAAAGGTACCACTATGTAGAAGATATAAAACATATGAACCCATCCTGGATATATTCTGGCCACAGTAGAAATAACATATACATACAAATAGTACGTTTATATATGTGAGGGTTAACCCACTGGATTTGGATTTAAATTGTCATATCCATTACTTTTACTTCAAATAAATCCTCTCAAAGAAGGTTAACCCTACAAAAAGTTCTAACGTAAACATGGCAAAACACTATATACTGTTATCACATAGCTGTCACAAAATGCTATTTATTTCGTGTTTACTACCGACAATAATTGGTTGAGAAAATGGATTATTTTGTATCGGATTATGTTGCTGAATTCATTTCTTTATGTTTAGAGTCGGGATACAACTTTGGAGTTGCATAATGTATTAAGATGGATTCCAAATTAGTTGAGCTAAAAATGTTTTGGTAATCTGGTATCAGTTGAAGTGGGAAATTTATATATGTTAAGGTTTTAGAAATGTACAGCAAAATTTCCCATTACAAAATAATCAGTTTCCCATTTCCTTATGATTGGTAATTAAACACACTACCCTCTGCCGACACCGGGCCTTGAACTCGTAACTTTGTTTTTTTTATACCCTACACCACAAGGTGGTCAGGGTATTATGTCTTTGTGCATTTGTTTGTAACAGGCAAAAGGAAACGAGGTAGACCCATAGTTCCTTCCGATGATCTGCATAGAATCACATTCTGAGTCGATTTATACATGTCCGTCCGTCTGTCCATGTATTTTTTAAACAAAGTATAGTTCGCATTTATTTCCCTATCTAGATGAAATTTTGCACAAATCATTTGTTTGGCCCAAGGACGAACCAGATAATCGGTCAAAATTTAGATATAGCTCCCATATATATCTTCGTCCGATTTGCTTTTTATTGTGCACCAAACGTGTAATATCAGTCCGAATAGTATGGAATTTTGCACGCACGATCAGATTGGACCTGAAAATAAGTATGCCAAATTTGATCGAAATCGGTTCAGATATAGCTATAGCTCCAAATATATATTGTTCATCTGATTTTTTATTTTTGTCCTCCGCGGCCGTAATATGCAATCTGTAACAACAATATTTGGGGAAATATATCAAATACAGCTCAGAAATACATTTACTAAACTTTATCGAGATCGGTTCAGATTTGGATATAGCTTCCATATATAACTTCGTCCGATTTACTTTTGATTGTGCACCAAACGTCTAATATTTGCCCAAATTGGATGAAATTTGGCACTTACGACCGAATTGATCCTAGAAGCTAGTATGTCAAATATGCACTCCATAACAACGACATTCAGAGAAATATATCAAATACAGCTCAGAAATACCTTTGCCAAATTTTATCGAGATCGGTTCCGATTTGGATATAGCTCCCATATATATTTTTATCCGATTTTAAATTAATTTTGCACCAAATATGGACAATACAAGTCCGAATTTAAAAGATACAAATGCTTCGGCATATTTAGTCCTTTGAACTTTTAATTATAATTTTAATCATAGCGTGTATAAATGAATTCTCCCATAAAAACTTTTAATTGTTATGCGCAGCTCTACTAAATTAGCAAAGTGGTGTAGGGTATCATAAAGTCGGCCCCGTTTTTTTAAAGAGCTCTACTGATAATGCAGAAGTTAGTTAGCTAACACAATCTTTAAATGGGTTATTCGTCTCCGTCGGCTTTAAAGATTTTCTTGGGTATTTTCATATTTTTTTTTTTTTTTTACTAACATTTACCAGTTGTTTAAAAAGAAGTCTTTTAATAATTTCTTTTAACAATTCATACCAATAAATTATTTAAATATCCTTTGAAGATCATATTCAATGTAACTGCCAATTCAAAAATCTGACAAACAATGACGGTATTAAATAACAACTACAACAACAGCAGCAGAAGAAGAAGAAAGCCTTTTATTTGCATTTTGTGAATAAAATTCGTGACTGTTAAGTTCAGTTTGGATTCTGTGAGCGACAAAAATGAGAACACGTGCCGCAGGATAAATCACGCACCACTGTTGCAGGTGATTCAAAATGAAATTGGTTATGTAACCTCAAAACAGCATGACAGGACATGGTCGAGCAAGTGTTCACGATTTTAATTCGAATTTTACAATCGGCCAGGCTTATAATAAGGCTCTTTGAGTTGCTACATACAGAAATATACGTTTCCAATTGTAATACAACAGGGGAAAGACATTTAAAAATTGTGGATTAAAGTGGCATTAAAATATGACAGCATGAAATGAAGAGGATTTTTATTTACATGCTCATTTAAATTTTTTTATTTTGCTTCTACAAATTTAATGCAATGGGCAACTGCTAGATATTTAAAATCCTCCAGCTCAGTTTTTTTACTGCATTATCAATAAAATATTTTAAGAGGCTTCTAGATACTGTTCTACTATTTGTCTGTAAATATCATACATTTTTGATACATTATACTACATTTACCAAAATTAGATCGAGTTCGGAGATGTGCAATATCAAATGGTTATATGAGTCAATAGTACGTTCGAATTTGTTTGATAGCGGTTTAGTTTGGTGGCACTCTCTGGGGAAGGCTTCCCTCAGTAAAAACATTGTCAAAGTACAAAGAGCAGCATCACTTTTAATTACAGGTGCACTCAGGAGCACACCTCAGTCTTCATTGGACACCCTACTGAACTTGAAATCCTTAAGTCTATTTGTAGAGGAACAAGCAGCGAGATGTGCACTGAGACTCAAGGAACTTGATCAATGGCGTAGTCAATCTTACGGACATTTGGTCATAATGAATTATGTGGAGAACTTAGGGGGTCGGGTTTTAACTAGTAACTATATATCACCTAGGCTAGATTTTGAAACACTGGACATCCACATACCTAAAAGAGAGACACTTGGACCCAAAACATCTAACCTTTCAACGGTGTAGCTATCTATACCGACGGCTCTAAGATGGAAAGTGGAACGGGGCAGGTGTTTTCTGCGAAACCATGAACATATGGAATTCATTCAAGCTCAATACAGTTTGTAGCGTGTTCCAGACAGAAATCTTTGCTGTCAGGAAAGCGGTAGAATTGCTGATAAATCGAACGGTTGAACTGGATGGACCGGTGACTATATATGTCGATAGTCAAGCGGCCCTAAAAGCGCTAAATTTATCCACCATCAAATCTATTGCAGGATTGCTCTGGAAAAAGTGAAGTCCTTTATTAAACTTTGTTGGGTTCCTGGTCATAGCTACATCTCAATGCAATGAAGCTGCGGATCAATTGGCAAAAAATGGATCCAAGTCAACTGTTCTAGAGATTTAGAGCTCGGGGAAACCATCCTTCTGTCACTTCTTTTAGATTATACACAAACAAATTGTTAATCCATTGCAGTACCTACATATTTTGCGACTATCTCTAAAAACAATAGCCTTTTAATCTAACCTTAACCTTATGTCCAAGATGATCGGGTCATAATTGATACCTACAGACTGATTACAAATTAATATTGCCTGACGAACGAAAATACATACATTACCAGATCAACTCATCTCGTCTTTGTCGCATGATCGTAAAATAGTAACTATCATATATTCAAAATTCAAAAATACCTCACAAAAATATTAATTATTATTAATTATTGTCAGTACTCACATTATTCGAGTGGCATCCCTTTGCCGGACACTTTCGTCACGATTCAAAACCTCGATTATCATTTTCCGTTCATTCTCCGATAAACTTTCCAACACCTTCGATGTGGCAACAGCCAATTCGGGACCCAAGGCTTCAATCGTCTCACCCGGTATGCCTTCGGTGGCAGCGTCTGCTGTGGTTATGACATCACCGAGACCACTGTCGCCCATGACACCGGTCATGTGGCTCATGCCCGACACAGCCGATGTATTGCTGTACGGATGCTGATGGTGATACATATTTACGTTGTTGCTATTGGTTTCATGCAGAGAAGAGGTGGCAGCTGAGGCAGAAGAATTGGGAGCCCATTGTTTGTTGTTGGGAGCATTAGGAGTGGGTGGTAGACGAGCACTGCGTCCACTTGACATAATCATATAAAGCCCGGAAACCGAACACGTGTCGACCTACTCAGCTTGCTTCCAAAAAAAGGAGACAAAACGTTTAACTTGTCCTCCTAGTTGTTGTATTATTTCCTCTGTTTTGTTTGTTGTTTTGCCAGCCAGCCAGCCGACCTATAATCGGATTACGTTTAATTTGCGATTAAATCTACGCAATGCACAATTATCTCGCATTGGTTTGATTTTTGTTATTTAGCACCTTTTGTATTCTGTGTCCAGCTGCTGGTGATGGGGTGTTGCAGTTCAACAACAAAATGCCATTTGGAAGTTGATGTTGTGTATGTTTTTGATTTTTATTGTTATTAATATTATTATTCTTGCTGTTGTTGTTATTGTTGTGTTTTCACTACTATTATTATTTTATGGTTTTATTTAAAATGTTATTGCTTTTAGTTCCACACTACTTGTGATTCATGGGTCCGGTCCGGTCATGAAACAAAAACCAAAACCAAAAAATGTTTTCTGAAAGAGAACAAACAAAAAGAAGCGTAAATAAATAAATAAATGTGTAATGCAAATTGATCGAAGGATTTTAAATAAATTACTATTTAATCATTTATGTATGAAATATAATTTGCAAATATTTATTTTTATAAATATTTAGTTGATTTTGTGAATTGGTTTATGAGTTAGTAAAATGTGCATGAATACTAATGAGTGTTGGGGATAGGATACCACATATATGGTACATCAATAGGCGGTACATCATGCCATTGCTAAAAATGTTTATTAAAAAAAAATTATCCCAGCATCGTCCACACATTCTCATAGGTAACAATTTTTGCACCTATCTGTCGTTTGTCTGCAGGCAGGTCAAATTCGAAGAAGGGATATATCGGTCCACGATATTGTATAGCCCCGATATAGCGGTATTCGATATTTTGATGGTTTTAACCACATTTTTTAATGGAATTGTCTGAAATTCTACACAAGGAGTTCTTCGACTTTACCACCTGAAAAAGAATTGTCTATATAGATCCACGATATCGTATATGCCCCATATAAGTGTACCTCCCGATATTTGTTATTTTGATAATGTTAGCCACATTTTTTAATGGATATGTCTGAAATTCCACACAAGGAGTTCTCTGTGAGTACTTTACCCCCTGAAAGGAATTGCGTCGAATCTCACAGTGACTGAAAATTGTCTATGCAGGTCCAGGTGTAGCCCCCATACAACAGTACCTTCCTTTATTCGGCATTTGATTAATATTAGCGACTACTCACCGAAATTATTTCGAATTTCGTATTTGAAGTTCGGAATTGTTACTACAGCCTTTGACACAATATTACTTATCCACGTCTTCTTATGGGCCCCATAAAATGGTTTTCATTTGAGAGGTATTTTTCGTCGGATTTTTCTTTTTGAAAAATTTCAAATTCCTTCCGAATGATGGAGGGTATAAAAGTTCAGCCGACCTTAGCTGCGTTTTTACTTGTTATAACCTACATCATACATTGGCCAGTTATTATGTGTTTGCGCATTTGTTTGTAAGATGGAAAAGGAAGTAATCACTTTCTGAGTCCATTTATGAATGTCTATCCGTCTGTTCATGCATTTTTTGTGAACAAAATGCAGGTCATATTTATTATTAGATTAAATTGTCGAAACAATATTTGTTTCGCCAAGGACGAACTTTATTGAAATTGAGATCAAATTTTCCAAACAATATTTATTTGGCCCAAGGACGAACCCTAATGAAATTAGTGAGAATAGGTTCAAATTTAGGCATAGCTTCCATATATATCTTCAACCGGATTCGCGTTAATTGTGCACCAAATGTCCAATATCTGTCCAATGACCTGAATCTCAATCTGAGTCGATTTATAGATGTCCGTCCGCCAATGTATTTTTGTAAACAAAGTAAAGTAGCATTTTTTTGCCCGATTGAATTGAAATGTAGCACCAAACATTTATTTGATTTGGAGATAATCGGTCAAAATTTAGATGTAGTACCCATATCTATTTGTATTTTATTGCGCACCAAATGAGTAATATGCGTCCAAATAAAATTGAATTTGACACATGCAATCAAATTGGGCCTAGAATCAACTATGTCTACTTTGGTGTAAATCGGATTAGATATAGCTATAGCCGCTATATATGTTAAAGCTCAGAAATACCTCTTAAAAATTCTATTGAGATCGGTTCAGATTTGGATATAGCTACCATACTTAATATTATCCAATTTTAAGTTTATTAGGCACCAAATGCTTAATATAATTCCGAATTGAATGGATTTTGGCACGTACGGCCAACCCAGAAGATAGTTCAGCATCACCATCTTTCTGTAAAATTTAATGTCGCTCAAATTCCGTTCGATAAATATAAATGTTCTCGCATGTTTTAAGGATTTCTGAGACAGTTGTCCCTGATTTTTACCACACTAGGACCGTACATCTGATGATGGTCTCATACATTTTTTTAATATTCTTTTTTTTTTTTTTTTTTTTTTTATTTATTTATTTAAATCTTAGATGTAAATTTCAATATATATTCTAAGTCCCACGAAACTGTAGTTAGTTTGTGTGTGGGATTTACGAACTATAATATTTATACATATATTTTGGCCATATTAGCCGTAGACTTCAATGGTTATGTTATTTATTTATATAATTTTGCTTCATTAATTTACTTTTAATACGCTTATCTCGTTCATTCAAAATTTCTTTTGGTAATGCATTTAGTGCAGTAGGAAGTGTAACAGAAATTGAGTACTTTCCATAATCATTTTTGTACTTCGGTATATTGTATTTGCCTTGGGCTTTGCTTCTTGTATTCACTTTGTGATCCAGTTTCTTCGCTAGGCCTCCATCTTCCATAAATTCTTTCACAATAGTGACTGTGTATAACTGATTTATATTGAATATTGCCATATTTTTGAATATTGCTTTTGGTGATTTCTCTTTATTGCCATGAATGATCTGGTGGGTTTGGTTATCCATTTTCTTGTATACGAGTTTTTATTGAACTGGTAATTTTTATTGAGTGTTGATGTCTTTAACAAATCTTAAAATTTTTCGTCTAGAATTTCGGCTCACTCATCATTCCCATAAGTTCCAACATGATCATTGCAGTTCTAATGCAGCCAAAAGTTTTTGATTTGTCAATTTTCTCCTCTGAAATCTCCGAAATCTGATTCCGCCATTTGTATTTATAAGGAAAATTATTAAAAAATTAACCTTTTGTGGAGGTAATACCAGAAGTAATGACCTAATGATGAAGCAAATTTATATAAAGCTGTATGAATAAGGTTATAAAAAGTAATACTTAAGGAGTCTCCCATGCTCCTTTATTAAGGGAATCCGAGATTAACTTTAAATTTATTTATCTAAAACCGGCAAATTTAAAGCAGCTTTCGTTTTTTATCAACTGATTCACAAAATCAATTGTCTTGTCATTCGTGCAGTATTTCGTTAGAATTTGTATTCAAAACAATTTTGTCATTTAAGACCCTTGAGACTTTTTCATTGCATTGACGGTTAATTTTCCAAAAGATTCAAGTGCCTTAAAGTTCTAAACACCACTTCAAATGTAAAACATCGGACAGCTGATTATGAAATCTGAATCTGTCACTTGCTTTTTTGTTTCATATTAAAAACATTAAATTTTTTTCATATGCAATTTACTTAAGAATTCCTTTTTGTGACAGGAGCAGCAGCACAACAATTATTTCCAAAAAAAAAATATGTTTAAGATAATTGTCTTCAAAAGAAAACCATTGAATTTGTTAGCCGAGTAGGATTGCAAGTAAATTGAAACTTATTGCGTCTCCAACGATAATTTTCTCCCCAAAGGGACCTTGAGGTCTTTGACTGAAACGAATGTGTCTGTGACAACATTTCGTTCAGCCACTCCCGCCCTTGCCGTTGTGGATGGTTGTAAACAATAAACCACCACATAATAACCTCCAAACGTATGTCATTAGACTCTTGTCTTCTTGGCTGTTTGGCTAATGTTCAGATGGTTGAAACAGTACTTCAGCCCAAAAGTATGCAAAACATGGATGGCAGACACGCTTGTTGTTGTGTGGTACAATGTTACTCATACGACATGATGATGGTAATGGTGATGATGATGGCGGCGATGGTGATGGGTACGGTACTCCAGTCAACAAATGACGACCGCCTGACTGACTGACTGACTATATGGCAAGTGGTGTTATTAGAAAACAAGTGTTCTCCATTACCAGCTCACCCGCCTCCATGCCGGCAAAGGACAAAGCAATCCATGGTAGCGAACTCATTTCAGTGATTAGTGGCAACATAATTAATGTGCAGGGATGGAGATTGCACGCAAATTGTGGCTGTGTTTGTGTGTCCAGCCAGCCCTCATGCATAAAACCAAAGTTAATAAAAGAACAACTGCAATAAAGCAAAAAGCTGAAGTACTTTGATCATTATCTGATAATGTACAAATGTGACAGTGACTAGACAAAATGACCAAACTTACTGCAGTTAATGAACCCAGCATAACTTTTTGTAATTTACCTTCGAATATAGCATTTTGTGAGGAGAATATGGAACAATTTGAAAAGAAAAATCGATAACAATAAAACCTGAACTAATACTTAATAAAAGAGCATAACTGTAAGCAAAAGGTCTCGTAGGAAAGATTTTTTGAAATCTTTAAAATTAGTCGAAAATTGCGAATTTTCTATGGATTCATGAATAGAAAATCCGGTCGGTTCGGTATGGTCGGTTGAATGTGACTATTTCACCTATAATGGTCTTGGGTTCGCACGTCTTCTTCACCATGAGATTTTTTGATTATTTTCGTCAAATAGTAGTTTTAGTTGATATTAAAAATATTTATATTTATTATAGGTAAGGTTCCAGAAAATAATGGAAACGAGAAAAAAACACAAAGTTCGGCCAGGCCGAACTTTGAGTACCCTCCACCATTTAGAAAAAAGTGGGAATCAAAAATCAGTTAAAAATTCTGTTAGAATTATTGAGGTCTATTGAAAGACGTGGACCTGCATAGACAATTTTTGCCAAAGGCCAAAATACAATATTCAAATA